AATCTGTGGCATTCGTGCATTCCAAAGAGTAGTTTAATATACCGGAAAGTGCATTCTCGTTTTGGTTTACCAGTTGTGTGTGTTTATTTGCGATTGTTTTTCTTTAATTTAACTATTTCGGCTATCTAATATGCCATCGATGTTACCAAAGAGCAGAGCCCTTATTACCAAGTGCTAGTGAACCTGTGCCACAAGCCACAACATCCTGAGAGGATCATACTGCCAAATTATTCAAGGACAACTAATACACATTCACGTAGTTTAATATACCGGAAAGTGTATTCTCGTTTTGGTTTACCAGTTGTGTGTGTTTATTTGCGATTGTTTTTCTTTAATTTAACTATTTCGGCTATCTAATATGCCATCGATGTTACCAAAGAGCAGAGCCCTTATTACCAAGTGCTAGTGAACCTGTGCCACAAGCCACAACATCCTGAGAGGATCATACTGCCAAATTATTCAAGGACAACTAATACACATTCACGCTGCATATTTACACAATATACATGTGATATACAAATAAATACAATAACCAATATGATACAATTATGTGAAAAATAGTCAATAAATAAGGAGCAAAACTACAGTTTTTATTTTATTTATGATTCCTACCTAACCAAGTTTTTCCTAAAAAAAAAATTAGTTTTCTTAATAATTTAAGTTCTCAGAAGTGTCCGTCAATAATCTTTGTTTTTACAGTCATTTACTTACGATTCTGAACCAATAAAATAATATTCCATGATTGTTGGTTCTTAGGCTAACTATGTATGGACGCTGAACAATGTCCTTTTCTTAAGATTCAAACATCTAGCAGTTTAATGCTTAAAAGATATATAAATCACTTGTCTTCTTATTTAAAATTTATAATCACCGTATTAATGTCTGATTGTATAACTACACAATTAAAATTAAATTATGAACAATATAAATTTAAGATTTGTCAAGAATATAATCAAAAGCTTCAAATTTTGTGAGAATCCCAACCCTGAACTATACGTGAAGGAAAAATAATGCACCGCTTCAAAGACACACTTTGAGCAGAAAGAAGGAATGAGTCATAATTTAAAATAACAGTAAGGATGTGTTTTATTTCCGATGACGTCATAATTGTTCAATTATACTTATATACCTACCTATACATATTGTCACAAACGCTCTCGAAACGTAACCGCGAAAGTGCTAGAGATCGAATTTGCCAGATCACCGCGGGTCGCGATAGAGGACGAGTAATGCGGCTATGCGGCTCATTCTAAAATGAGCCTTATACAGTGTGTCGTAAGGGAGAAAGTGCAACGACATCTGCACTTGTTTAGAAGTTATGCGCGTTACCTGCGTAGGTATAAGTAGGTACTTTGTACACGCGGATGCTAGGTAACTCTCAATTTAACGGGTGAATAAAGAACTGTCATGCGTGAACTAGCATATAATTTCGAACCCCATCCCGACACGTGACAATATTAAATCCGTTTTCTAAACTCCATAATAGTACAATCTCTAAGTAGTGTGGACATTTGGATCTGCATACTGTTACAATGTTATCCCAACCGTGTTCTATTGTAATGCAAATATCTTTCAAGTTTTCTATGAGTTGGCTGGGTCACGGCTCGAGGCTGATTGATCGAGAAAAGTTCGAAGCGAATATAAAGCGGTGTTGAAAATTTCACGAAGTCAGTTGGCCCAAAAATAGCGAGTAAGCGAGATTGCACGTTTGATGTTTATTTAACTAGGCCGCCCGCGACTTTGTCTTCGTTAACTTTTGTTTTTTTATAAGAATCCCACAGGAACCTAATATTTTTCCAGAATAAAAATTATAATATGTCTTAATCCAGGTTATAAACATAATTAGTATCTAATTACATCCAAATCCAATCAGATATTTTTTGCGTGATTGAGTACCAAACATACAAACACAGAAACATACATACACAATAACATACAAACTTTCATATATATAAAATTAGTAAAGTAGGATTAGTAGTTTTTTTTAAATCTTAAAATACAAGTATCATGAAAGTCTGAATGAAAAATGTCTAAAGTGGCATATGTATGAAACAATGGCACTTTTCAGAAAAGTATGATAAGATCAAATTGAAGAATTCATTAGTTAGATGCATATAGCAACACAGCCGACGTCGGACGCGTTGCTCTATGTTTAGATGTCTCGTAATAACTTGAGACCCACTGATTAATAAAAAGGTTTCTTTATGTATATCAGGGACAGCCCAATAATTATTATTCCTCTAATTTAGTCTATAAGAAAAAAAGATTTAATAATACATCAACCATTCAAAGTAAGTCAATGATACCTACATTACTATATATAGGTATAGAAGAAAGCAAATTACTTATATATATTATAAGCAACGAAAGAGTACTAGTATCATATTATACACCTAAAATGAGCGTTTATTTTGTTAAACGTGTAGCAAAATGTCGCAGCTCTTCAAATCCAACACTGAAATAAGATGAATGAGAATGTCAAAAGTTCACGTCTTTTTCCGTCATGTTGGCAAGCTCCTGTGGGAAATAATATTTTTATTGAAATACGTGTCCGACATCTAGAATTGTGTTACATATAGTTATTTTATCTACCCCTATACTTAAAACCTCTATTAAATATTCTTAAACAGTTAGCTTACTGCCAAAATGAAAACATTCAATGTCATAAAAAAACCATTATAACACCTGTTTGGGTTTTATAATGGTTCTTTTTTATTTAATTCATAATAACACTCTTTCTCTTTTTAAATCCCTTCCACGCCACGAGCTTATTGATCAGTACCCTTAGCACGAACCAAAATCGAATTCGTAACGTTTGCGAGTCCGAAATGTCATTGTCAAATCTGTACCCCTAGCACGAACCATTATCGAATTCGAATAGTTTGCAAACCGAAATATCAATGTCAAATTTTGTATGGAAACTTGAACAGCAGCGGCACAAAGTACGTAACGAGAACTAAAAATCAGTACACATTTGACAATGAAATTGTTGAATTCGATATTGGTTCGTGCTAGGGATACAGACAGTCATAATTTTCACTGCTCGATGCGTGGTTTATGAATTTCAAAAAAAGAACATTGTCATTCACGCACATTTCACTAACACAGCCCCGAAACTTTTCGTGAAATTTAAGTTGTTAGAATACCCCATACTTTCAGAATCTTTTATAGAGGATTCATATCATGGGTGTAGATAAAGTTTTGTATGCAACTATTATAATTGGGTATTAAAACATTCATATGATAATAAACCCACGTTCGTGTTTTAATATCCCTCATTATACAACAGTTGTATAAATTACTATTATAAAACCTCAGACCCCACAGATTAGTCGTCGGAGTCTGATATACGTGTTCAAATAAGTCTGTGAAATTGTTTTATTTTCAGAACACAAAAATACCCTCTTTATTAGCGAAGCTTTTTAAAGCTCAGGAATATGTGCTTCAATCACAAGGGATTAGGTTCACCGACTCTTGGGAAAAAATGATTTCAATTTAATGTAACGCTGCGCTGTATCGCGAAAATACGTACATATGTAAAATGAATATTTACCTGTACTATACCATGTACTATATGTAAAATACTCTTATTTTATTTTACTAAATAAAATGGAAACTTACTTAATGAAGGAAAGTGCATTTATAAAATAAATGAAAGGTAATGCATTCTCACTTACCTAAACTTAACACAGATGGAGTGGGGTCATTTGTTTGGCCCTTCTCTGAAGGAAAGATTCATTATCAGAAGCGTGATGGCTCTGTGGTTGGATAAGTATTTATGTATAAAAAGTGTTGCGTCATACCGTGTCCTTCTTGATGGAAAGCGATAATGTGACCTAAGATGGAACACGAATGATTATAAAGGACGAACCTTTTAGTTGATAAATAATTTGAACAGTTTGAGATTGATACAGGTCTGATAAATATCAGGGAACAGAGAAGTCGGCAGCAATCTGTCACTGATTGTTATTGAAAAGGCAGAAACTAAGCGCCAGGTGCAGGATCGTAAAGAGATCGACGATATTCATACATTTTGCCGAGCCTATGCTCATCGCATAGAGAAACACGGCAAACGATACTTGTGTGGTGCAGGATTTGGCGGTGTGTTTCGTCATTGTTTATGTGTGAGTGTCGGAATTACAGTTTTGTATTTTACGCATGTCTCGTAACTCGTACGTTAAAGTGCATTTGTGTGCATATGCCCTTCCCCTCCCACCGCCAAAAATGACAAAATGGTTTGAATAGTATTATGTCCCTATGGCTGCTCCTTTCTATGTTGTTCTATGGCTCATCTGATAGTGGAATGGTAGGGAGGCGTAAAATTATGAAATTCCAAAGCACTTTGAAATGTATCGTTGAATACGATATACATATGAATTAGTAACGAAAGTTACTTACTAAACCTTAAACCTTGGCCCTCTTCCCTTAAAAACGCAAAGTTGAGAAATCGGTTCAAAAATATGAATATTGGGAGAGAATTTGTTCTGAGCCGAACCGACACAAACCACCGCGTATTCATGTTTTTCCTTCATGAATTGATATAATGAAGTTCCAATGAGTAAAATGAAACTATTTACACGTATCATAACCATGATAACCTAGTTACATTTACTTCCCACCAGCTGTTCTGTAGTTTGTTGTTTCATGCGGTATTGTTTATTTATAAGGATTATATTTTTTTTTCACAAGAATATATATTTATATAACATTGTTTTAACAATATTCCCTAAGCTAGCTATTCCTGTCTCTTGAGTTATAGCAGATTCTGTCGGAGCGGTTTAGTCAAACTCGCACTAAAAAAAATATTTATGTATGCTGCCGTTTCATCATTCAATTATTCATCAAAGGAGTACGGACGGTTCGACAATATTTAAACACAGAAAATATTACTTACTGAACCGAATGGATTTTTGTAGTAATATTTTGTTTAGATTTAAACATCTAGTAGTTAATGCTTCAAAATAAAATAATGTTTTAACATGTTTATTTTCTATCCTCAGAGCACCACGAAACAGAGTCCGTCCATAACAGTCGATGGGAGCTCCACGTACCCGGGGCTCGGCTTCGGGCCCATGGGTCCCGTGGCCCCGCTTCCCGACGAGCCCCTGGGTACCCAGATGCGGCAGAACCAGGAGACAACCACCGACGCAGACCTACAGGCGACCGCCAAGACAAAGAAGGAGAGGACCTTCGTCATCGCCGCCTTCGAGTTCCATAGAGTGGAGACCCCTTTCCTGATAGGCCTTTGGATATTTTTCGCCAGCCTCGCGAAAATAGGTAAATATTTAACTAATACTAGCTGTGTCCCGAAGTGTTACCCGCGGTTTATTAGGCATATTATCCCGCAGTAAAACGTAGCCTATGTGTTAATCCAGGATGTCACCTAACTCCATACCAAATATTATTAAAATCGCTCCAGCCGTTTAGACGAGAAGAAGTAACAAACATAGACACTCACATTTCGCCTTTATAATAGATATACAAAAACCGGCCTAGTGCGTGTCGTCGTGGTGTCGTGTCACGCGCAGTGTAGGGTTCCGTAGTTGCCTATCGTTACCACAATATAAGACAGAAATCATTGGACGTTTCAAAGAGTCACTATACTCTTTATAAAAATGTAAAAACGATTCAGAAACCGTTGGTACAGCGCCATCTAGCGGCAGCTTTGTGTAACTAATGATATTTTATTGGGATTTTCTTTAAGTTTCTGTAGATTTCGTTTTTCAGTGCAAAGTTTTACGCGTTATTAACATGCAATTACTTCGTCTAAGTCACTTTTAATGTTTTCTTCTTATGAATTTTTATAAAGTAAGAAGGTTTCTAATCCATAAGTTGAACGACTATTACTCTTAAACTAACCGATCTATCTTAATTTTTCTGATTTTCAAGTAAATACTTCAGTTTTAAGAAGGGGGACGACGACGACTACGTGACATACACATCCACAAAATTACAGCTCTCTAGTGTCAAAAGTCTCTAAGGAAAACTTCGGTCGGACATACAGATAGACGGACATGACGAAACAATTAGGGTTCCTTGTAGGACTACGAAACCCCAAAAAGGTTAAGTAAGCTTTGTCACAGAGTTGTCTCTGGAACTACTGAACAGATTTTGAAAAATCTTTATAATAGATTTAAGATTGCTTTGAATGCTTGCCTACATAGTTTTTTTGTTGTAGTGGCGAATGAAAAAGAATCATGTTATTCAAAAATTCCGTATAATATATTATATCTGATAAAAAACTCAATATATAATATACACTACAGATTATATCAGTCCATATTGAAATATCAAATTAATGTAAAGCAATCCAAGTTATAATTACATAGAGTCCCATACGAACGATTTGCGACAAATTGCCAATTCACAGTTGAATTGAAATGGCACGTCCGCTAACGTTAATCGAAAAATCATTAGCGCTGATAAAATATACCTACCTACCCAGAAGATTAATGGCCTAAAGCTTAATGAAAATATTATCAACTTTCATGTAAAATATTGTCACATAATCATGTTGACGCTGACAAAACGCCTGATCTTTTCAGTATTTTGCGGAACGATTTATTACGTCATATACTTATGCGACGAGGTTGCGTATGTATAGACATTTTTATGACGACATTAAAACGACTACGAGCTACGCAGTGCTACGTACGTGGCTACGCGATACAATCAATATTCGTAGCACATTTTTCACAACTTGTGCATTGAATTAGAATTGAAACTTCTTAAATTTCGTTCCTCTGTGGTTTAGCTACAGGAATTTGAATTGGAATTCCGATGTCTTACTCCTATTCAGCCACGTTAAGGGTAGACATTTTTCGAGGGCGAAGAAAGTCACGAATTTATAAAAATTCACAGCTAAGCTGAAATCCAAGCTAGAGTGGTAAAAGCTAAAATTTTGTATGTAACATGTTTAGCCTAAAGCGCTGAACATAATGTTTAAAAATTCAGAACTCCGAACAAGGCTAAGATTTCAGTTCGATAAACACTCAACTCGGTAAATAGTTAGGAAAAAGTTCTCTGAAGTAGTACTTTTAGTTGTTATCCCTTAAATTGAATCCACTTAGGATCAAGGTTGTATCCAAACGTGACTTCAGATTAGAAATACTTTTCTTGAAAGGGAGTATTGATTGGAGATAAAGTTTTGTTTTGTTTTTTTTTGCACGTAGGTGGATTGACCTATATTTCGATAGTATACTATGACCGTGTAATTTATGAAAGTTTATTTATAGACTAATCTTCGCTCGTTTGTTAATAAATAAATAAATATTTCCAACACTCATCCCAATTAGCCTAATGCCAATGTAAGCACTGTAGGATACTAGGGTAACGGGAAGAATACATATGTAAGAATATTTACATAGAAATACAAATTAAACATCCATGACTGGAGTACCAATGCTCGTATTCATCACAAAAACATGTGCCACCACCGGGATTCGAACCCAGGACCTTTCAAGTAGAATAATAATAATATTTCTCACAGTCACACCACGCGCGCCTAGCCCCAAAGTAAGCACTGTTAGGCTTGTGTTATGGAATGCTAGGTAACGGATATTATACATATATAAGGTGGGTGTACCATGGAAGATCATGCTCCTTTGAAGGCCAACTTAAAAAAAAACATATTTAATGTCATGTGACGATAAATTCCTCCCACTAACACTAACTCGAGTCGCTCGCGTCGCTATTTTATGATTACGATCCCTCGATTCGTAGACTTCGGTCGTCGAAGGTAAAATTGTTATGTAAATAACCTATTATTGCCTTATTTTTAAGGTAAATTATTAATAAGGATTTGTTATGGTAATGAAAATAATGATAACTTTGCTTCCATTTCAGTTAAAGTATCGGTAGTATCCTATAAAAGTCGTAAGTTCCTTATAAGGCTAATAAAAAATATGGTTGGCGTTGCTAGGGTATATGGACCTTACTAAGAACATTTACAAATCATAGAAATATGAACACTTAATTTATGGTTATAAATACTTACCGGAAAAGTTTTATGTTTCATCATCATCATCATCAACAGCCTATCTTAGTCCACTGCTGTACATAGGCCTCTCCAATTGCACCGCATCCAGCTCCTGCCAGCCAACTTGCGCTGTTTGGAAAAGTTTTATGTCTATAATATTATTATTTATAAGGGTTATTCAACTTAACCTTCTTAGAACCATTTTGGCCTTACAATGAACGGTCCCATAAAAGGCCATTATAGGCCAATTTTGTTATATATAATTTCAGCTTTTTATGTAGTTTTAGTAGTAGCGGATATTTCAATAATTACAACTCTAGTTTTAATAACTGATTTTTTGAGACCTGTTTCTAGTAAGGCCGGTTGGAAGAGCTTAACAAAAGTTAAGTTTAGTAAATAGTGATTACATTTAAAAAAAAGTAATTTATATGTTACACAATGAAACAAAGTGTTAATCATTAATTTGTTTTTTTATCTAGTAAATGAAGTAATAAAAACTGTTTATTCGTTAGAGTGGCCTTCCAATGTCGACCTACCAACATCCATGACTAAGGTACAAATGCTCGGATTCATCATACTAACATTATCCCCCACCGGGTTTCGAACGCGGGACCTCATGAGTAAGCGACACTTTGAAATCCGGCGTATATACCACTCGGCCATGGAGGGCGCCAAATTGTTGTGTTAATTGAATTGCGAAATTTCAGATGAGTAATTTAAGTTTTAAACTTCTTTAATTTTATATCAAAATTTTTAGCTTAAGCTAACATCATAGTAGTATGTAAGCACCTATGTGAATGTTTAATGATCCGCATTCATTAAATCGACAGTATCTAACGAAGTTTCCCAACAACCTACTTACAAGGGTAAGAAATTACCTCGCCTAGAAAACAAGGAGAGGGTTAATAAATGTTCTTAGATTAGTCGTGGTAAAGGTTGTGAGCCGTGTCCTAACTAAGCACGCTTAGTACGTATATTTAGATATGCTAGGTAGAGTCAACTTGGGTTTTAATTTTGGCTTTTTGGAACAAATCTTTAATTATATCATATAAATTAAACATTTCATATACTTGACCTAATAGAACTGATTTAGTAAGCTTTGTTACCCTTTCTACTGATACAGAAAAATAACTTCATTAGTAGCAGGAAACGTCTTCGGACTTGGCTTTTTGCGGAGTTTTAGCTGAATTATCCATATCATTTAGTGAGGTGCTGAATTTATTGACAATCTGAATATTTGTGCCACTGATACAAATTTTCTATGTTATATCTGCAATATTGATACGAAACTAAATTTCATTTTTATTTCATTATTATAAAGTAAAATACGATAGGCTTAATTCTGGCATGATGCTCTTAATCTAAAACTTATTGATAAGTCTCTGTTTTTCATTCAAAAAATATGTGTGTATAGTGTAACATGGATACACTATTGTCATATTTAATTTTAGACCTAAAAAATATGCCAGAATCGGATACAGTATAATCTACTTTTATTATGAACATTTATTTAATTCTTCATGCTCAATTGTACAATGGCGGACTTAATGCCGTAGGCATTCTCTACCAGTCAACCATAGGGTGTTGTGGATAAAATTAGTGGTAGGGTGCGCAACTGAAGTGGAAATAACATTTAAAGCAGTAAATATGTATAAACATCATCGTTGTTATGGAACTTCTTCTTCTTTCTTATTGTTAAAAAATAAAGGCCCTACTAGTATAACTCAATACTTACCTACGTAATTGCAGCCGGATAAGTGGGAAAAGATGCTCGCAATGTATTTTTATAGGCGAAGTTATAAATCGAATAAGATCATCATAAATATGGCTATTTTACTTCATCGGATTCACTCAGATACGGAAAGACATCAAGCGCACCACTTAATATAATATTCAAAGCCGATTCCATTCTAATGTATCGAAAGGATCAGGAAATTACGTCACCAATTTCGTGTAGCATTCCCCGGGAGCAAGTCTCACAGGAGGATTAATCAGTTGGTCGACGTCACATAATAAGGTCTTTATTACATCCGATTCGCTTGGTGAGCTAACTATTGAGCCCGGTGTGATTAGGATAAGTCCGATCCGAACTTATTTATACGACACTAATGCGTGTCTTACAAAAAAATCGAGAGTGCTTATGACATTCAACTGAAGGGAAACTTCATTGGCTCATCTGTATAAAAAGGGTGTTTCTTCTAGGGTGTCAAGCCAGTGCGAGCTGACAGCGGAGTAGCATACCTATCAATTTAACCCCCATGTATGTATGTTTTGCGATTTTGCGTAGTTTTTGAGTTAC